CGCTATCTTCTGCTGCCGGACATTACGTTCTTTTAACGCACGTTATATACTACTTATATCAATATAAGTAGCTCACACCACAATGGAATGTAGTATTATGCATTTCATTGTTTTATGAAGTTAGCTTCAAATCTGTTTGCTATTAGAATTTGATTAGATAATTTATTATAAGAACGAATTAGGGACTTCTCATGAAAATAATAAAACTGTTAACCTACAGTAGATCTATGGGTTTCGGAAGTTGGTGTGGTTATGACATAAGTAATCCTATCTATTTAGACATTTCACTATATTGTGGTTATTTATTATAAACAATTCTAAGGTGTGACACGGAGAGTTAATTCACTTTAACTACTATTTCTCCGTAACGTAATAAACATAATGAAAATAATAGTGAAAGAACCTTTATTCACTGAAGCATTCCAGATAGACAATAGAAAATGCCTAAATGCTGGTGGCTTATATTCATTCAATTTGTTGTCCTTAAATTGTCTGCACACTAAATTATAACAATGCTTTATTACAATATGACAGATATGAGTTGTTTCAGTAAAGAGCCATTGTTGGGTTAAATAAAACAAGATATCAACGACCTATTATAGAACACCATTTTGTATTGTTCACTTATTAAGTCAACGTATAACATTGTTTTTTTCAGTCACCTGGTTACCATAGTGTTAGGCTTTTTCATTTACCTTAAGGACAACTTTGCAAGTAGTACAGTGTATCACAGTTCAGTCTCAGGTTCACTTCATACTTTCAACTCACTATCGACCAAAATACTAAAGACTTGTTATCATCATTATGTTTTTGGTCAGTATAAGTGTATGTAGGAATAATTGTTGCTATTGGAGTGTTCAAGTTTTTTGTTGTTCAAAAATCCATTCATATGACAAATATGTGGATTTTCATCAGGTTTCGTTTGTTATTAGGGATTAGAATAAATAGGTGTAACTACCCAAAATCCAGTGACTGCATTCTGATTGGCTGAAACGACTACATATTTTGCAACTATTTAAATGAATTGAGGTTTACTTGAAATTAATTTAGCTACTGACTGAAATTAGTTAAATCATCGGAAAATATTCTAAACAAAGTTGAACCCAAAATTTCATCATCATCATCATCATCACCTTCGTTTTACTTACATTTTCACATTCATACATAATGATCGTCTATCAAAGAATTTCAACAGATTTGATCATTATACTGATTCATACTGTTTGTAAGTTGATGAATGATTGTTTAGGTTTAAACTAATATATTGCATTCAGTAGTTCATGGATCATTTGAACAATCCTCAAAATTGTGTGAAAATAATTCATCGTAAGTCTGTTGAAAGCATATTATTGGTTTATGATCATCGTAGTGATGGTAATAAATATTTATATGATTCTCTTTAAGTGTCTTTGGTTGATTAGAGGTTTATTAATAAACAGGAATCAGAAGATAAGTGACAAAATGTATTCAGTCAACATCAGTTATGTATCATTACTTTGTTGTTAATATTGTTCATTTGTATTCATCTGTTTACACTGATTGTTTACCGAATAATCGTTAATATCATGTATGTTAAGTTCTTAGTGGTAACCTAAATCTATGGTTTACTTAGCTGTTAGCAAGCCCCGAATAACACACAACCAGAGTTTCCTACCGACTGTCTTCAACCACCTAACAATTTTCTGTGTGATATAGATGCATAAGTAACACAAAATGTGGTTTAATTGCAAGTCAGTTCCACGCACTAAAACTAAAATTATTGAAACATGCATAACAAATTTCACTTATGTACAAATTCTAAATTACTGGTGTGCATAAGACCACAATACACAATCTTTTTGACTAGGAGCTGTTTTAATGGTCACTGCATTAATGGAACGTGTGTATGTAATACATGTTGGATCGGGAAAACATGTGAAGAACGAGGTAAGTCAGTCATTTATGGTTTAACTAGTCAATATTACTAATAACGAGACAATTTTCTGTTCGGTTTTATAAATATGTTGTTTTATTCTATCATTTCCTTATCAAGTTGAGGCTTAAGACTTATCTCAAGCTCATAAGATTTACTGTAGTGTATTCTACTTATCCCTGTCTACATACTTACTTACTTACTTACTTACGCCTGTTACTCCTCGTGATGGAGCATAGGCCGCTCACCAGCATTCTCCATCCAATCCTGTCCTGGGCAATCCTTTCCAGCTCCTTCCAGTTGTTATTCATCCTTTTCATATCTGCTTCTGTTATCCGATGTAATGTGTTCTTTGGCCTTCCTCTTTTCCGCTTCCCTTCAGGATTCCAAGTTAGGGCTTGCCTCGTGATGCAGTTTAGTGATTTTCGTAATGTATGTCCTATCCATTTCCATCGTCTTTTCCTGATTTCTTCTTCATCTGGAAGTTGGTTTGTTCTCTCCCACAGAAGGCTGTTGCTGATGGTATCCGGCCAATGGATGTTAAGTATCTTGCGAAGACAGTTATTTATAAATACTTGTACCTTCTTGATGGTGGTTGTTGTAGTTCTCCAAGTTTCAGCTCCGCCTGTAGCTCTTCTAGAGTTACTGCCGGTCCCAAGCCCGGGTAAAGGAGGAGGGTTGGGCATGGGGTTAGCGTCCCCATCCCGTAGGAAACTAACTCGCTAAAACAACTCTCACCAGAAAAAATAATTCAAACCTTGTCTACATAGGTAGTATGTAAACCAATCAGAAGTTGAATGTCTCTCAAAAGAAGCTTGAGAAGATAGCACTGAAAAAACGGAATGAGGAAGCATGAAGGGATTGAGAGATGGATGAATCATGAATGATGTAAGGATAAGTGATGTAGGGTTCTCAAATGAAGTATTCAATGTAACTCTATAATTTTGCATTGAACAACAAATTGGTATTCCACACCTGAGTTCTCCATTAGTTACATTACTTGTATAAGAAATAAACATTACACTGAATGGATAATAATTCACATTTCTTGATAAGCTTGTAGTCAAATTTACTTCGCATCTTGTTATAAGAAATCTTGGAAAATCATCAGTTGGTTAACTTAAACAAAATTTCTTCATGGATTGATGCATCTGTTTGTTAAAACGTTCAATCATTTGTATTGTGCATTGGTTACAGTTGAAGAAATATTGTCCATTCCATGATTCATAATTCATTTCTGGTTTATGTATATTGTGAAATATTACCATTTTAGTACATAGAATTCCAAAATTCACTCAGACAGTATTCACCTTCGAAACCAAGTTTTCTAACTGGATCAATGGAAGTCTCATTGGTGGTCTTTCTCTGAGTGATGAAAACTCCTCCTTAGCATCGTGTGGAAGTGTTCAATTTAACATTGTACCTGGTTCAAATTACTTACCAGTAGCTATCGATGGAACAACTGGTATTTTGAAAGTAATTCAAAGTGATTATGAAACAATGAAGAATAATCACACCATCACTTTTCAAGTGACAGTTAGGAATGCAAATACTTCACTAAATATATCTGATGATGCAACGGTCAACATTTTAATTGATGAAAATTATTCTGACAAAGAAACAGGAATTGAGATTACTGCAGTCAAGAGGGTATGATCTCTGTTTATTGTAGTATTTTTTGAAAATGAAACTGCTGTTTTTGTCATTGATTTCACAATTAGTAAGCTGTCACTGAAAGAGATTCATGACTTGTTTCAATTGACACTGTAGTAATCTGTTTCTTTGAAACAAGCATAATAATATGATCAATGGTTCTTCAAATCTTATCTCATAGTTCTGAGCCTTGATGTTCAAACAACAACAACAACAGCAGCAGCAGCAGAATATCAACACGATTAGTGGTATGCTACCACTGGAGACAACCTACAAATCAGATGAACGTCAAACTCTCATAAAACGCTACGAATAATTATTTTTGTCAAAAATGCTAACTTATAAGTATGAAAACTATTTAAAATAATGTTAGTTGTAAGAATTATAAGTATGCATAATCGTCTTTGAATTCGTATGTATTTCACATTCATTTATCTTACAAAACAATGTGGTGTTTCAGATTGCAACCTTCATTCATTAATGAACTCGATTTAATAATTCCGATGTTAATGAAATAAAATAGTGTTTTCATCAGGACGTTGTGATACGATTCAGCAAATGTGCACAGTAAGATATAGAACCACAATATGTACTATCCAAAATAATTGATTTGAGGTTTTCAGATGAGTAATGTCATTCTTTCTTCTTTATAGGGCATCATAGTTCCACCGAATACTATCGATGTCACATTTTCCAGAGTATACATCCAAGATAATCCAAATTATTGTCTATTCGATACATGGTTTATTGATTCGGTAATTGTCCTTCCACCTGGAAATCATAGTTTGATCATGAAATTTTCTGGTCCGTCTCTAAATAATGTCTATTACGGATATATACAATATTTGTTTGCTTACTACAACGGTTCAAATATAGCAAATAATTATCTTGTGAAGTTTAGTAATCTCACATACTTGGACAATAATTCCTCGGTAAGGATATAAATGTAGTTTGATTAATTTTACTGTTTACAGCATTTTTTGTTAGAGATTGTAAATGTATGTGTAACAAGGAATGTCCAGGTAAATATACATATGACACCTCTTGTTTCCTGTCACTAGAGGTTGTTCGTTGTGATTTGATGAAAACTGTGTGAAAGTCTCAGGGTTGTGGATATTCATTGATACTACAATTCAGTAAATAATGAAGCATATGTAGTAGGTTTCTAAAGCATATGGTTATGTATGGAAACATTCATCGTGAAAACAGTAAACAAACGTGTTTGATTTATGTTCACAAATGATAAAATACACTTCGTCTAACAAGCATTAAATGTGTATAAAAATGAGAAATCCCTAGATAATTCGAATTACATTATGTAGATACAATCAGGTTTTCTGAATTCACTTTCTGTATAGGTATAATCCTTAGTTAACAGTCTCTCATGAAGCTGATATATCGTCCAATCCTTTTCTCTTAGCCTTCAAGTTTCCTAATGACAAGTCAAATACTCGTTTCATCTGCTCCTGCGGATGATGAGAAGAACTTCAGTATTAGGATGAGATTCAAAACTGGTCTTTTTCCTGAAAGGACACCTCCTCCAATGGGTACCAGTTTAGTAGTTACAACGGAAGCATTACTGACTCCAAAAATTACCGTGGATTTTTCCATGGTCGTTTCTTCGAATTGTTCAACTCAATATGATGCAGTTAATTTCATAAAATGTCCTCAGTCGGTTAATTATGGTGGAGTCTATGATTATTCTGTGAACTTCTTTATAAGTAGACCAATAGGAGATTATACGGTAAGTTAGGATTGATATACTTGCATAAGAGTTTTGTTGTTTGCATAATGCTTTTATCGAATTACATGATGTGTTTTTCAGGATGTATTTTAACATACAGAGAGGTTTTACAAAGAGCACCATATAATCAATAGTTTCATACTATGATACAGGTCGATGTAAAACATCCCTTCGCACTTCATCATACTGAACTTAAGTCTCATGTTGAAAGATAGTTTACTTGAACAATAAATGAAGGTTGGCTTGCTCTCACTACCAGACACTAACTTCTCTTTCAGATGGGGCTACTTAATAAAATCCGTTTGTAGGTTGCTTAGATTTCTTAACCATTTGAATCAGCCAGTGTTGCTATTCGATATTTATTTCAAGTATGTCAATTATTTTGTTAAATGTAATACTAACTTTTCTCATACAACCAATATTCGTGATTGTATCTTCGTAGTTTGTTACCCTGCAATAATATAATCTTGCTGTTGATTAACGTAAATAAGCTACTTCTTACAGTTCAAACTATTCAAGTTATCAACTTTCATTTATCATTAACGTTAAGTCGATTGCCGTATCAAAGCCCACAATGTTTCAGCAGAGATACAGATGCTGGGAAGTATTAAGTCTTCTTATCATGCTTCGAATTCTTCTACTGTCTAATATTCTTGGAAACTTCAATTTACTTGACTGGCTCCTGATTCGAAACACCACTGACACAAAATCGTATATATATTTCAAAGGAATAAAATAACAAAATATCAGTTGTATATGTATGTAAACTTAAAATAGGGATACTCTAGCTTCCTTTCATCAATTAGAGCTGATTGGTTGAAAAATGGGTCAGCCATGTTAGAATTAAAACTGACAGAGAACAGTTTGAATAAATCAATGTCATATTGATAAATAAATGGAATGATATTTATTTAATGCTCTATATGATCATACCTTCGAATTTGAGATTCTCTGCAGAATAGAAAATGGAATGGATCAATTTAGAAAACAGGATTTTTGTGAAAAAAGTTACTGTGAATCAGTTAGTGATGTTTCAGAATAAATCCTGATAAAATCGTTTCTGGATATCAAAGGAATTCGATGATGGTTATTCTAAGTATATGACTTGCTAACTAGATTTCTATTTCATAACCTATTAGTACTCTGATTTCGATAAAAAATAATGATACTAATAAAAATAAATAATAATTATTATTAATTCTTCTTGAATCCTCTAAATTACTTGCATTCAGTCTCCTATATTATCATGTTTATATGATAGTGTTATTTGGATAGAAATCGACAATCGACAACTTGTAGCATCATTCAAACGATTTATAAATTTATGTAATATATGGATGTACTTTTTGATTATATAGTCACAGATGAAACATATCTCACTGTTTTACTATGTTAGATTATTGCAAAACTTATAATGAGTGTATGCAATCTAATTAATCCTACTCTGATTTTGTTCACAGACATATTTCACTGAATGGACCACAAGATATGAATATCAAAATGTATTCATATTGCCTAATGATTTTTTAATCCCATGTATATACTTGATTCATTAATGGATATTTCATAGTGTACAGGAGTCGCTTAAGTGAGGTGATTATTTCCAAACTATTCTCATCAATCAGTATTGTTACCTAGCTAAACGGGAGTGATTTAATTAATTATAACCCTTTTTCTCTTTTTAAGACTGAGTTCATCAATGTTGGTTAACTTAACCGAAACACCTAAATTGTCGAACTATCTCGGTTTTGGAAAGTAATCTCGGAAGACTTGTAATGCATAGAATCAAGAAGTAAATGTTCATTGATTCTTATAGTCAGTTTTATTCATTTAAACCGTGCACATTTTGCACAAAATTATCCGTCAAAAAAACAAAAACATGTTCCTTGTTGTTTTCGATCTACAGATAATCAGTATAAACATACAACAACACATGTGAACTGAATGCACAAGACATTTCCATAGTAGATTTTCTTCGCAGACAGAATCACCCTGAATGCCCTGGTACGGCCGAGAGTGGGGAGAGTCCGCTCTCCCTCTCGAAATACTCTCACACGGCCACGCGTATATAGCCTCTGCCAGGGAAGTCCTACTCATTGCCTTCTCGTGGCGGGGGTGTTGTTTACGAAAATGAGAGGACGAGAAGCGAATGTCCGGCGCTTTAACCGGATTCCAAACCAATGGTGCACATGGGCTCCAGTATCCTGCGGGAACGAATGGCGTATGAACCAATCGTTGGTCACCGGCTACCATGGGACTGCATCTCCTTACGATGCTCCACTGCCTTGTGGGTTAGACCTTTAGGTCAAAGGCTCGGGGAGTGGCCCCCTAAGATAACCACCTGCTTCGGTTTGGGCACCCGGGCAGTATCACAGCCCACACACAAATGATGAACTGTTTATGTCTATGGAAACTACTTTTGTCGCTTTGAAAAACAATCAATTGATTCAAATTATGATCACTTCAATTATTGTCATTATTAATACTAATATTATTATTACTACTATTATTGTCATTATTGTTATTATTATCATTATTATTATTATTTTCCACATTATTCACCTTCTTTTATACTTATACAGCGGCTCGTCTTTGGTGGAATTCCGACTGTATCTAAACGTTCTCGAGTCACTGTCCGGTTGAAAATTGTATGTTACCACCGAATACGAGGACTGAAGCAGATTTTCTGAAACCACGTGCATCATTCAAACTGGCTGCCTTCAACGTTCGCACATTTATGCAGGTCGGACAACAGATAGGGCTGGCTATGTCTTTGGAAAGTCTTAATATCGACGTGTGTTGTCTATCCGAGACCCATATTCAAGACTCTGGCGAAGTACTACAAATTCGATCTCCATCTGTCGCTTCGAAAAGCTTGTTTTACGTGCGCTTATCCGGGGACCCTGTGGCATCTTCGTCTGGTTTTGCTGGCGTTGGTGTCGCACTAAGCGCTAGAGCTGAGGCAGCACTAATTGATTGGATCCCCATTAACAGTCGGTTATGTGCTGTTAGATTAGAAAGTTCCATCAAAGTGAGAAGAAATCGGCGTGAGAAACGATGTCTTTTCGTCATCTCCGCCTATGCCCCGACAGATTGCAGCCCGGATGCAATCAAGGATGAGTTTTACCACCAATTATCTGTTCTTCTCCAGAAAGTGCGTTCGACAGATATTGTAGTACTAGCCGGAGACTTGAATGCTCAGGTCGGGCGTCTAGGCACAGAAGAGAGTCGTTTAGGTGGCCGATGGGGACTCGTTGGTCGCAGGTCAGATAACGGGGACCGTCTACTGCAACTTTGCGCAGACCACAACCTGTTTCTGGCTAGCACTAACTTTCGGCACAGTCATCGCCGATGTGCCACCTGGCGTCCTCCCTCTGCATCTCAAGCCTGGACTCAGATTGATCACATCGCGATCAGCTACCGCTGGCGTGGTTGTGTAAAAGACTGCCGCTCCTTTTGGAGTACCTATCTGGACTCTGACCACGCCTTGGTCTGCGCCAATCTTGCCTTACTTTTCAGTGGACAACGAAGTGAACGCCATCAACGGATTGATGTTAGCAAGCTGGTTGCAACTTCTGTTGCAAGTAAGTATCGAACCGAGCTAGCCTCTAGGCTAGCTACCACTCCACCGAAAAGTATAGATGAGCATTGGTTGCAATTGCATGACGCCATGAAAATGGCGGGAACAGTCAGTTGTGGGTTTGCGAAACGTCCCGCTTTTAAGCACTGGGTTTCTTCTGGTTCCTTACAACTCATTGAAGCCCGTCGGTCTACTCCGGGTAACCGTGAGTTTGACCATAAACGAAGGTTTTTACGTAAGGAAATCGGGCAAAGCTTGCGTAAGGACCGAGAAGCCTGGTGGTCGATGCGTGCTAATGAGCTGGAAGCAGCAGCTGCATCTGGTAACTACCGGAAGCTCTTCCAACTCATCCGAGCCACTGGCAGCAAGAAGTCTGGTGTGAGTGAAACAATCTGCGAGGATGATGGGATGCCAATCACTAACATCCATCGACGTCTTGGACGATGGGCAGAATTTTTCGAAGGGCAGTTCAACTGGCCTGCTGCTCCGGTAACATCGGTCAGACTGTCCTGCCCTCCATGGCCGGTGACGACTGATCCACCAAATGAGGAGGAAGTCCGCAAGGAACTCCAACTCTTGAAACGTTACAAATCACCTGGCCCAGATGACTTACCTCCGGCTCTTTTTAAAGATGGTGGTGACTTTTTGACTAAGGAATTGACGACGTTGTTTACAAAGGTTTGGGATCTAGAGAGTGTACCAACGTCATGGAATGAGTCGATAGTTGTCCCTATCTTTAAAAAGGGTTCACGTCGTTCTTGTAACAACTATCGGGGGATAAGTTTACTTCCGATTGCGTCCAAGCTATTGGCTTCCGTCATTCTTCGTAGGTTGTTCAAAACCCGAGAAAGATTGACTCGCGAGGAGCAGGCTGGGTTTCGTTCTGGTCGAGGATGTATTGATCATATCTTCACCCTCCGCCAAATGTTAGAACACCGCCATACTTTTCAAAGGCCAACAATCGTTGTGTTTCTTGACATCAGGGCTGCCTTCGATTCGTTGGATAGGACTGTTCTCTGGGATTGTCTATTGAAGAAGGGTGTGCCTGAGAAGTTTATTAACATCCTAAAAGCCCTGTATAAAAACACCTCAGGCAGAGTGAGGGCATACAACCACCTCTCTCCATTGTTCCATTCGAGCAGTGGGGTTAGGCAGGGTTGCCCAATCTCACCATTCCTCTTCAACTTTGCCATCGATGACATTCTGGAAACAGCTCTGATGAATGTAAGTAATGGTGGTGTGGATCTGTTGCCTAGAGAAAGACTTCTCGACCTTGAGTATGCGGACGATATTGTCTTACTGTGCGATAATGCCCAAGGCATGCAATCCGCACTTAATCAGTTGGCAATCAATGTCCGTAGGTATGGTATGTGCTTTGCACCTTCGAAGTGCAAAGTACTTCTACAAGACTGGCAGGATCCCAATCCTGTACTCACCCTGGATGGTGAGCAGATAGACGTAGTTGAGAAGTTCGTGTATCTGGGTAGCTGCATAAGTGCTGGTGGGGGTGTGAGTGATGAGATCAATGCACGAATAGTGAAAGCCAGAGCGGCTTATGCCAATCTGGGCCACCTTTGGCGCCTTCGTGATGTCAGTCTGGCTGTAAAAGGCCGGATCTACAACGCGTCGGTGAGAGCAGTTCTGCTCTATGCTTGTGAAACCTGGCCTCTCCGAGTTGAGGACGTTAGACGACTCTCTGTGTTTGATCATCGCTGTCTCCGAAGGATTGCTGACATTCAGTGGCAACACCATGTTAGTAATGCAGAGGTTCGGCATCGTGTGTTCGGGCACAGAGATGATAATTCAATTGGTGTCACCATCTTGAAACACCGACTTCGGTGGCTTGGACATGTTCTCCGAATGTCGTCCCAGAGAATTCCACGTCGTGCATTATTTGCCGACTCTGGGACTGGTTGGAAGAAGCGGAGAGGTGGTCAGTGCATGACATGGTGTCGTGGCATGAAAGAAAGCTGCAAAGGACTGGCTTGTGTTGGTCCTTCACGACTCCCTGGTTGGGGTCCGAGAGATGGTGCAACACAGTGGCTAGAGACGTTATCAGATATGGCTCAGAATAGAAGCCAGTGGCGATCCTGCTGTAACCTTCTTTTACTTTCTTCATAAAAAGTGGTTGTGTCTCCTTTACCTGAAAGATTTCTTCTGATTGTACCTCTTCGTCATTACTCTCTTTTTCTTTTGCGTTCCTTAGTTTTTTTTTTTTCTTTTTCTTTCTACTTCTCTTCGAATTCCCATTGTTTTGTGTGGCGCATATATATTGGCGCTCTCTTGTACCAATATTTATGTGTTCAAATAAATAAATAAATAAAATAATAAGAAGCAGTATAGAAATGTATCCAAGGTTTTTTACTTACCTTCCATTATCAGCACTTGCCAGATGCAGCCAATGAAAAATTGTTTCGCTAATCGCAAATAAACTTTAATATAAAGTTCAATTATTAGGTATATTACCAAATCATTTCGATTTACATTAGACGATTATGAATAATATAAATTCATTGCCTAAAAGTAGTTTCTCCAAGCTCGAAAATTATTCAGTTTATTGTAGGATAGTGAATAAATGTGTCAGGTATTAAAATTATATATATATATATATATATATATATATATATATATATATATATATATATATATATATATATATCCCTTCATTCATAATATCATCAAAAAACTGTGAACATTCTCATTATCGAATACCACATACAGACAAACTTACCAGTTATATGTACTGATTTGTTTGATAGTTCACATTCAGCACTGATCAATACAGTGCTTCGATTGGACATATATCTTTAACTCTACCTCCAACATTTGCTACCTATCCAGAAGGCTACAAAATAAATACGGAGGAATTCGTTACATCGAATGCCGTACTGACAACTTTCGGCTACGTAAGTGTTACAAATCTACTGAGTCTAGGTAAGTTTATTTTAAAATTATCAGTATTATTGAGAATGTTCACAATGCTTGGTTATAAAATTAAGTATATGGTCACCGAAACCTTAGTAGGCGATTTTATCATCTATCTGAAACGCACTTATGCAAAGTCCAATTCTCATAAATTCTATCATCAAGGAATGCAGTTAATAGATGCATTCAATGTTTCAGAATAGTGAATAAAACATTTTTGATCATTGCTGATAAAAAACCTTAGTTCAGTGCTTATTCTACAACAGTTTTTAATCAACAATGTACATATTTCCAGCCGTTTTATTTTATCCACCTTACTATAACTTTATATTCACCGTCAATTCATCTACTATGAGGGTCTTTCAATTTATCATTTATGAACAAAACCGTTTATCAGTTAAGTGAAAGTTTTTACAGGATGGTCATAAACTCATAAGTTATTCAGATAGCTATAGAATAAAGGTAAACACTGAACACTAATTGAATAGAACGCAATTCCAATTTACTTCTAGATGTTTGTCACTTAGAAATGATTTTAAACAAAATGACATACGACTATCAATAATATGGAATTTAGTTATAATAAAATAAACTAGGTAACTTACTGATATAAACTACCGACAAGGAATTGAGTGCAGTTAAATCAACAAGGAATTCTGTATCGCCTATACGAAATAATCGTCAATAGGAGCGCTAGAGGTATTTTTGATTTCATTTCTAAAGTAGAACATGAAGACTAAACTGCGGAATAAATGATATCTCTAGATGATGCACCATAGCTTATCAATGTACCGTAAACGGAAACAATTGAATCAGTGAGTCGACAGCTACACAAATAATAAATCAATATTGGAATTTCCGAGGTTAGCTTTATAGAATTACTTTTGTAATGTACAATGAACCTTCATTTTGTCTTCAATCATACACATCACAGATACATCGATGAAATGTCAATGGGTTCTCTTCTAGGTCGTGTCCTTCCTGAAACTAGAAAGCGGACTTCTAAAACAGATTGTTAGAGGCTTGAATTTAATAGCCGTTACATTGTTGATACTTTACTATCGTCAATCAAAAAATTGGAAAAGAATAACTATGAAAGTGACTAAACATATGTACTCAGTAATCAGATTCACATGTGAAGAGAAACTTGATAACAAATTACATTTCTCTAACGTTTTATTAAACAGAAAGCAAAACGGTTCTATCACTAGAAGTGTGTATGGAAGAAGTTCTTCAGGAAGCCAGTACACACTTTAAAATTTGTGCCCATTCATTGCAAGAGAAACTTAGTTAGATATCTTGCAAGTAAAGGTAGGAAGATATTCTCAAACGACACTAAAAACAAGGGACTAGAGAGTGAGTAGGTGAGAATACAAATTTTAACCACAATCGGTTTAATGTGATTCTATTTTACTAAGTTGTTCATTATTATTATTATCATCCTTATTGTTATTATTATCTCCATCATCAAGACGAAATTATCCTACTATGCACTTTATCACACGATTTATCGTATCACTATCATATTGATTGTAACTTGGCACTTTACAACAAATCATTCTGACATTTGTTGAGTGATCTATCTAATTTACTTGTGGCAGTTTTGAAGTAGTTATGCTGTAAGCGATGCGAAATTCACCAACATTGTTTAATTAACTAACATGCCTTATATTATCCTTTATAATGTAACACAAATATTATGAATTTATAATTATAGAGCCTGATGACGAAGTTACTGAAAATGATTGTTCCCACAGATATTCTTTGCTTTTGTACTTTTTACTTATTATGGTTATTTATGTGATCTATTCTACTGTTATCCTTGACTCACAAACTCCCTTGATTGGTTTAATATTTCCATATATGCATATAAATTTCATTTCATATTAGAGTAATGCCTGATGAGGATCTAATTAGCAACATTATTGTCCACTTATGTAAGATTTACATACTGAAAACACCATAGTTTACTCAGTTAAGGAACAGAATATATCTAAATTGATATATTGTGAACTAAATGAAGATTATTCCAATAACAATAAAAGATGATTAGTTTCTTGTGGCAATATAAATACGATGATGAAAATTCAAATATTTAGAGGCTTATTATAGACCTCCAATTAACAAGATATTACATTTTATCAACTATCATTTCAGAGTTAATAGAAGCTAAGTCGAATTTAATTTCTCATTTAACCATTTTAGATGAAATGATAATATGTAACATTCCATCGAGTATAAATGAACTTATTAACTGATAATCGATCACACTAATAAGTCGGTTATTATCAGTGTGTGGATACACACTGATGGGGAACCCCATACTAGGACGAAACGGCCATCCAGTGTTTCCAAGTTTTAATGCTGGTATAGCTGACTGACTCGTGAATTCAACTGTTGAAAGTCGATTAGTACTAAACTGAATGTCAATGAAATACTGGTGAAATCACTTTATCATATCCTATACAATCATGTTTCTGTTTTCCTGGAACATCGTTTAGTGGTATCCGGAGATGATCGTTATTTTCCAATCAGTTTCATTTTATAATTATTTTCAATGAATTTCAAGTATTTCTGTTCAGACTGGTTGTTTATATCTGGAAAACTACATGTTAATCTATATTTTGCTTTTTCAAATTTCATGTAGTGACTTATGATACTTCTCTACCAGTGTCCAACCGCTCAGTTCGTCTAACAGTTTTTATTCAGATCTCTAACTATAGCTTAACATCAACTAGGTTTGAAGCAAAAGTCTCACCGATAGGAGAAAATTCTACAGTGAATGTTTGTGAGAGTCAAGTCTCCTCATTTACAAATTACACTGCGGTAAGATTAATTTTAAGTATTCTGTAAAAACTAACTTACCTCTTTTCTTCAAATATATAGCCTGAAAAAAACTTTATTTCAATAAAGGATATTCCAGTCTTGAATCAGGTTGAAAAGACTCAATTCTTCACAGTTCAACTAACTGTCACACCAAATACATATTCTTACTATATTCTTGATGCCAAAATCCAAAATAAAGTACTTGGAGAAGTGTGTTACATTGACTACTTGCAAGAAGAAAACAATCAAATAAGAAAAGTAAGTTTAATGTGTTGCATCTCGGTAAATCATACACTTGATCGACGAGACACTGACTTCCCATTTATTTACTGGTCCTCAGAAGTCGTCCACTTTTGAACCTTGAACTGAAAGCAAAAGTAGTGAAACATGAAAACGTTTTCACTATGAAGATTTAATTGGTTAGAGAAGACGAGGATATCTATAAGATTATGACTGACCATATAATTCTAGCAGCTTTGGGAAAAAGCCCCGAATCGGTAATAAACGTAGTAATTTATTTATAGGTATCTGGAAAAGTGATATCTAAGCAATCCGCTCAATATGCACAACTAACATAAAGACTGTGTAGTGTGGCGTCGAGTTGAGGTTGACTATGATCACCACTACAGGAAGACTATGTGCCAGTTAACCGATAAGATCCCTCGTAAGCCAAATATCAGAAGGCAGTTGATGGCTGTAGTCGAGATGTATTTGTTGGCGATCTCGTGGTATCGAAAGAATACCGACATCGTGCCAGGTTACAAGTTGGGTTACTGAGCGTAACCGAATTCGTGCAAGGTCACGAGCAACGGAAAATGTATGTATTTTGGTACACTTAAACAAACAAGTACGGTAAAACAATCCCTGGTACAAATGGTTATTATAATAATTGTTTCCATTACACCAATCGCGTTCTCTTGATAAAAGTAGGTCACTACAACTGATCGAACGCAGCCCTTAATATCAACAGCGGAAAAAGTAAATCTTTAAAAATGAATTTGTACTCAGTGAATAAGCTAACAGTTATCTAGACTTAACAGTTGAGAACAGAACGCGTTTGTGTCTAAAATGACAGTTACTAGGCCCCTGTCTTGATGTGGACGTCAACACTGGTGTACAGGATATAACCATTTGGCGAAGCCCATATGTGTGCCTTAGATTTCACTGTTAATCTCGATTTAAATTGAATAAAATCCAATCATACGAAAAATCTGTTTATCGAATTCGAATGAAGAAAGCATGATCAATTCATTCCCTGACTTTTTTGAAAGTTCCAATGAGTGTTGACTCGTCAGAGAGGTTCCAACATTTTTCTCGGTTTCTATAGAACTTCTTGCGAAATTTAAAAGAAATTACAAGAGATCATTTTTAGATTCGGAGATTTCTAAATGACTCAGGTACGACAGAAATAACGCTACCGATGTACATTAACAAAATCCCCTTATTTCCTGGAAACAATAAATTACCATTAAAACGTCAAACATTTTGATGTTCTCAAATGAATACATTATGATTGTAATTATGAAATGAAACAACCCAGTCAGTTCACCATAAATAAGTGAGACCAGTAAACATAAATCCTCCGTTATGTAAATGTATGGTAAATGGAGATAGTACCACTAATCTTAAATATGTAGTAATTGGGAATTTTTTTGATTGTGAAGGTATTCCATCGAATACATTAACAGGACATGACTGCAAGATAACCTGTCGTAAAATCTCGTTAAGCGAACATTAAAACGAGAATAACTTAACTGATTACCATTTCTATTTGTGAATATTAGTATTGTCATTATTTTCATGCTATGATATAATACCAAATCAATAGGACTGGAATTCGGCATATGTATACTCATTAGTGGAAGGTGAAAGAAGACTATCGACTAAACGCATATGACAGGCGTCAAATACCAGTTTAATTTCTGACTACTGATTTTGGAAGTGGAAAGCAATTGATTTGACTATCCTAAGTGTTAATAATCTTAATAAAGACTGGAGAAATTTAGTTATTCTATTGCTTACAATATTATAACGTTTTGCATGGAACAACGCCTACTGATAAAAGCGATTAAAATACTTGTTCAGAGAGATTTTCGAAAGTTAGCTTTATGGAGTGGAAGTGAAGTCACAGGACGTGATACTGGTTTACATCTTGCTTGAAACCACCTATTGTGGAAAAATGTAGTATAATCATTTGCATAATCGAAAAAAACTCGTTTCCCATACTTCACATATAGTAAATGAGAAATATAACAAAAGCAATTTCATTGAATTATCAATATCTTCATATTATAACACGAATTCACATGCAATTTTATTTAAACAATTCTCAAAATATTCAAGTCATACTTCAAACATTCAGAAACTGTTAATAGAAGGTAACTATTTCTTAACGATAATATCCGATAACAGTAATACTCAGAAAGAGGTTAACACTTCCATTTGGCTTGCAATTCAACACTTTTATTTGTTCCTCTTTGCCTGTAATGAATATTGTCCACTAAGTAATTTCATTGTACAACATTTTGATTACTTTCTTCTCCTTTCAACTCACTTACAAACACTACAGGTTAGATTAATATCAGAATACACTATATTGAACTCACGAAGAAGTGGGAGTAGTACACCACTTGGTATATTCGAAAATAAAAGTGCCCGGAATATCACTTATAATTTTGTGTTTGGAATCAAGTTATGCTATGACACCAGTTACGTAACGGGTGATGTGATCCAAATACAATTTACTTTAAGTACAGATACATTGGCTGTGAATACACAGAATGTTGTATTTTCAATAAATTCTATGGTCCAACCACCATCGATTATTCCTGTAGGTTTACTTCATTTTTTATTTGTTAGTCTAATCTAATCTAAAGCACATACTTCGATAATATATTTCGTTTAAACATCTAACTTCATCTGATGTTATCCTATATATATTACATGCATATCTTGAGTTAATGATCGAGTTGCTACTGAAATATAGTGTATCTATATGTTTTTGTAATTGACTAGTGGATCGAGATGGAGTAAGGAATAACTGACCAATTTATCTATGTAATTACAATCTAACTGATAATCTTATTTTAAATAGAGCAAGAACAAAGATTGGTGCAGAATAATATGAATTCATTTTATTTCGTTAGGTTCTCATCAGCTGCTTACAACCTAAATTATTTGAAAATTCAACATTAATACAGATATTGACATATTTATATATAAGAGTGTGATTAAGGATCAATACATGTGTATGATGATGTAGCAAGCAAAGATTCAGATAGAGTTAATGAGCTCATAAAATGTTTGATTCGAATAAATAAATAAAGTTTGAGAGGGAAAGTTCTGGAACATTGAAATAGTGATTAGAACTCATGAAAATAGATTAATGGTAATAAAGAAAATATGAATTGAAATCAATCATTTATGTATGATGTAATTTATATTTCAGAAAGAGTCGACAGGTATCCCTTTCATGTTACCACCAACTGTGTATACAAATTTACATGTACCCGCCAAAGCAGTTACATTGGTAGAACAGAAAGGAGAGCCTACGTCCGATTCAAAGAACATATTCCGAAAATTTTAAGGTTAAATGGATTGAACGCATTCAACAGTGCTATCGCAAGACATCTCCTTGATACAGGACATAAAGCTGATATACTGAAGTCCTTCAAGGTGATTAACAAACAATCAAACTCGAACCTTTTGAAATTCGCTGAAGCGTTAGCAATCAGACGTTTAAAACCAGATCTGTGTATACAAAAAGAGACAGTAATAAATCTTTCTTTCCCTGGTAACAATAACCCCTACTCTTTCTATTAATTTGCTCCTATTTATTTATTTATTACGTCATTATTGCAACTCTTTCTGAAATATAAATTACATCATACATAAATGATTGATTTCAATTCATATTTTCTTTATTACCATTAATCTATTTTCATGAGTTCTAATCACTATTTCAATGTTCCAGAACTTTCCCTCTCAAACTTTATTTATTTATTCGAATCAAACATTTTATGAGCTCATTAACTCTATCTGAATCTTTGCTTGCTACATCATCATACACATGTATTGATCCTTAATCACACTCTTATATATAAATATGTCAATATCTGTATTAATGTTGAATTTTCAAATAATTTAGGTTGTAAGCAGTTGATGAGAACCTAACGAAATAAAATGAATTCATATTATTCTGCACCAATCTTTGTTCTTGCTCTATTTAAGATAATAAAGGGAACTATGTGTATGATAATCTTATTATTGGATTAATCCTGAAAGTGCTTTTTTCCTGATTTACTACTTTCTGAAACAGATGATAGCAGAGACCTTAAAACAACTTGACAATTTAGAATTTTTACTTACTTTTCGAACAAATGAAATGTTAAATTGATAGCTCTAAATATACAATGGTGGCTGAGAAACTGAAAAAATAAAGAATAATAGAATGCAAATCAATAAAATAGAATGTTAAATTGAATTTATCTAGTTTGAAATATCATCACCAGCATTCCATTTAATGATTTCAACGGAAATGAGCGTTGTGTAGATTGTTTATGATAGTAAAGTGATATGTTTGTGGAATACTTTATTGAGATGTGCTCAGTATGGATACCCCGAACCCGACCATCCATATTGAGAACAGAAAGACTGGAGGTCAGGATTTATTTCATCCTCCATATAAATTACAATAATATATGAATACATTACTTCTTATATGGTTTATTTTCAGTCAGATTAACTGACAGATTTGCATAATTCGAACTGAGGAGTATTTATTATCAGGTAATTAAGAATTAACTGTGTGAATACAGATTTACCATATCATACAATTAAGCATCTATAACCAACATATGTAACTAATTAACTGAGTTATAGAATTACTCCTCAAAATGTGATTCAATATCACAGATGACCAATTTCACATGTCAGTCTTACTCCGATTGTGATTTAGTCATTGCTTGCAATATCACATATCTCACGGAATAACATGTGATCCTTTTTCCGTGATATATTTGTAGTAATCTAATGAATAGAAAACCGTATTTCTGATGTTTCACGAATCAGCATGAATTACTTCTTCATAGAATAGACCAATGAATCATATCAGTACAAGTTTAAATACTGCAGAGGAACAAATCACGTATTTAGTACAAAGGAGACAAGTTTGATCATGCTATTGTTATATCAGTCAAGTTAAAGTGGATCCGATATTAGGAATATATGTGTGTAGTCATCTGTATCTGAGTGCGTGAGAAAATGTGATTTGTGCAATGTGTGAGAGTGGTGCTAATTTTATCGGTATTCATAGTTTTAAATTAATAGGTTTAATGACATAATTTGTTTGTACTAAATACTTGTATTATTGCGTTGAGTTATCCTAAACAATTCACACATCCAGCCATCTCCATGATGTCTACTATAAAGCAGCATTGATTCACTCATTATAAATCAATCGTGGAAACATTCTGAATTCTACCATAAAGAGAATGAAGTGGTCGTTGGAAACAACTGTAGGATAATCGCTCACTGTTACATATTTTAATTATGGATTTTTTTGAAAAAGAAAAGTTGTATGAAAATGGTGATAAAGATTCAAGAACGATCTAGATATATTTTCTTTCTGAAATTATTTTGACTTTAGTATTAAATATTTGTTTATCCTATTCCTCATATCTGTGAATACGTCAATTATTATGCAATAGTTTATTTGTAAATATTCTGCTGTTATACTTACGGAAAGTGAATCATCGAAATAACTGTTATTTATCCGCCTAAAGAATGACATTTCATAAGAAAGTCACTAATCGAATAGAAAAAGATACTGGCATTTATGATGGAAGTTTTCGCTTCTGTGATCATTTCCTAGATTTAATTAAAAGCTTATCAGTGTTAAGCGGAGATAAATTTGGCTTACGGAAGCTTTCATCACTCGGCTTGAATCCCAATGGCCGCGTGGAAAAAGGAAAACACATTCAAGATGCCGATATCAGATGACCAGCTCAACCGAATACTACAACAACAGCAAGCACAACTTGATGCACAAATGCGGTTGTTGGAGACTCTGACGCAACAACTTAACATCCACTGCTCGAGTTCACACGCTATTTCAAGTATGTCTTGTGATGCAGTTGTTTGCAGCATCCCAGAATTCATCTACCACTCCGAAAGTGGAAATACCTTTCTCGGGTGTTGCGAAGATGCACTTAAAACAGAATTCCGTAAACAAGATGATGCGTGAATGACTCGATAGTTGATGAGTAAGTTGAACGCAATGAACATCCACATTTTGCTGGTCATATATTGCCATAGTTACCTCAAGTGTTGAGTTTCGAGGAGACGGTAACTCAATTGTCAGAGATATTCGGTGAATCCTCCCCATAGTTTAGTATTCGATATCAGCCACTAAACTTGGTGAAACGCGAAGCCGATGAACATGGTGGTCTGGCAGACATCATCAACAGAGTGTGTGAACGGTTCAAGTTACGCTCATTGACAAAATACCAATTTGAATGCCTAATATTCATCAAACCTCTTCAGCCGCCACAAGATGCTGAGATCAGGACTGGACTTTTAACTCGACTGGATCAAGATCCAAACGTTACAATCAGGACATTGACGGATGAGTGTAAATGACTACAAAACATCAGACACGACAATGAGTTAATTGAACAGGTAAATCCTAATTTAACCTGAAGTAGTGTTAATACTATGACTAGGTTGAAAGCTCAGAATCCGAGAACAACTTGTTACAAACCAACTACTGTCTGTTGGTTATGCGGTGATTGACATTATATACGATTCTGCCCATTTAAGAAGCACAAATGTCAGGCTTTCAACAGACGTGGACATAAAGAAGGAAAACTTCCACCAAATCATACATTCCAGCCAAAGAACAAACTTAAACATCATCGACATGTGATGAAATCAGCCGAATCTAAATCTCTTGCTTTGGTAGCGGCCTTCCAGACAGATCATGACATTCAGAGAAAGTATGCTACTATCTAGATTAACGACATATCAGCTTGTTTTCAAATTGACACGACATCCGATATCACCCTAGTGTCTAGAGAAACGTATAACCTGCTTGGGAAAGCACCACTGAAGCCATCTAAGAAAACTGTTAAAAACGTATCAGGAGGTGTGCTGAAACTAGTTGGCAAATTACATTGTAAATTTTCCTACAATGGAATTAACTGTAAAGGAATATGCTATTTGACTAAACGGCCGAACCTTGATCTTCTTGGTCTAGATATCCTAGAAAAACTTGAAATAATGGATATACCCATTAACAATGTCTGCAATATGTCGTGTTCATCAGTGGACACCCGGATACTTGCAAAAATGACAGGTCCAAGACTTCCGTGGCAGTGTATACATTTGGACTTCGCTGGTCCACTTCATGGACAAACTTACAGTTTGGAAGCTGATGCATACAGTAAGTGACCAGAGAATTTTCTCATGGAGCATCCAGCTGCAAGCTTCACAGTCAGAAAACTACGTCAACTACTTAATCGTTCCGGGGTCCCAGAATTGATGGTTAGTGACAATGGAACCCAGTTTACATTCGCTATCTTCTCAAGATTGTCGGCAGTACCCAATCAGTCATATCCCAACACCTCAACTCCACCGCTAATTCAATGGCCAAGTGGAACGCTTAGTTGGTACATTTAGAAATGCTCTGAAAAATGGAACGGGGGGACCACCGAAGGGATGTTAGAGAGGTTCCTGCTTACTTATCGCTCTCCACCGAACCCTCAGAAGATTAACACGGTCTCCCCAGCGGAAGTTCTACTTGGCAGAATAATAGGAACGCATTTCGATGTCATCCGCCCGTGAGTCTCGACGAAACGTACTGATGGAGAAACAGTTCGATCGACATTATGGGGCATAAAGACGATTTTTCACGGTGGGTGTAAAGATACTTGCTATGGATTATCGTGGAAAACATCCTACATAGATAGCCGGTCGGATCGTGCAAGAGAAAGGGAATGTGGTTTATGAGGTGTTAGTTGGCTAAGAAGTTTGTGTACGTCGTGTCAAGCAAATGAAATCAACTTCGATAGCCATCAACGAGACTAGATATAGAAAACCTCTTGACGTTCTGCTAGACACCTTTGAAATAAAAAAGTCTGGAACAGACAGGTCAGTTTCTGTGCAATCAAAAAGTGATACAACTCCTATATTGCCTAGACGGTGGATAAGTCGAAACCACAGGACAGTCACTTGATTTTAGTTGAACCGTAACACCATATCCTACGAATATGCTCAATGGGTAAGTGTTAGCAGGACACAGATTCAATTAAAGCATGTTCCATGCATAGTTGTGTTGTGCACGCTGATTGTCTGTTTCTTATTCAATCAGCGCTAGTCGATACTTAAAGAACACTCTAGAATCTTCCCATGCAAAACTATAAATATATTAACGTTTCTCTTATTGTGCTTCTTACTTTCATATACCCTTGTTATTTGGAATACAATTTCGTTCTTGTTCTGATTTGGGGAATTAGTTTCCAAGAATACTGAGCAATAGAAATAGCTGGGTTGTAATAAGAGAAATTATAACATGAATGTAAACTGATTTTAGAACTTTGTAAACTATGATCTGTCTCATTATTGCTGTTTGTAAACTCCTCCTGAATACAGCCCTCCAAAGTTCCAACACTTACGATTGAAAAAATAGAACCACGAAATTCACAACCACTGGTCAACTTTACCGCAATTGTTGAATGTCGTGTGAAATTTTTCGAGGATTTAGTTTACACACCAGTCACTCTCGTGATACAAGTAAATCCAGCTTATGGTATCATAATTAGACAAAATATCCAGACAGTTGGATATTTATTGAAAACTATGGCTCCTGTATCTCCTTCTTACATTACGAAACCGTAAGTAATAACAGTTAAGTGTACCAATTTTATTTCCTCTATGATAATTATATGTATAATTATCCTTTACTGTTTCAAATTTCAACAAAAACAAAGCAGTTCTCATAAAATGGGACCTTTCATAATCAAGATTATTAAGCAGGGAAGAGTAAAAACGACGAAGCTCAGACGAAGAAGAATCGTGATGTGTAAAATGGTCATCAAGAAACATTTCGCTGGCACTCAACTGCGTCGTTCATCTGCGCAAACCCAACGGAATAAAATACTTCAAATTTTTCTTCATACATCTTGAAGGGTATAGTGATTGCTTTTGTGGATGGGATTTGATCAGAAATCCCTAGAGCAGTAATTATTTAAAAAACTGACAACGGCATTCTCGTTATATTTCTAAACTAAAATATTTGCGAAAACTTTAACTTGCATGCAGATTAAAAAAACGCTCTTAAATAAGTAACGGAGACTTTGTAGATTCATTGTATAGAGAAATCCGAATGATTGGTGCAGCATGCATGTGCAAAAATATACACAACTCCAGCTACACATATTCAGCTTCATATCCGAATCTATTTTCAACCGATTTATAAACTTGGAGTGGTATGTTGTCAAGATTTGAAAATTAGATATTGAAAGGAAGTTATGTAATAATCGTCTGGTAAAATAGTGGTAAGGTGAAGATAATTTTCCACTTGATTGCGATTAAGAGCAGGATGTTCAAAACGTGTAATAATTGCTACTTAATAGTTGTGAAAACAATTGGAAAGTAGGAATAATATAATAAAAATAAAATAGATTATGGAAGATAGGAAGGGTGGTTAAGATCATGGAAGAATGAGAGACTGAACATACTGTTTGTGTACGGAATGTTTACGCTTAAGCTGGTGGACGGCAATAGTCTATGCTGTACATAAGTTTTTCATTCGCATTCCTATTGAGCTGACTCTCCTGACTGTATGTATGATATTGAAGCAGGCTTTCGGTGGGGCGGAGTGGCCGGAATTGACTAGATGTTCCAAGATTGAGCTTTTGACTGACTTCAGTAATGCTCTGTGTGGTCAGACAGGGTAATGTTCACAGATATGCTTCGAAACAGCTCACTTTGTGCAACCAATATAAGCAGCTCCAAATGAGCAAGCAATCTGACAGATGCATATCCATTTCGCCCAAAGTGGGAACTTATCCTTCATACAACTTCAAATCATAAGCCGACTAGAAAAGATAATGCTAAGTTCAGCCGAATAGAAAGTTTTTCTCAGAGATCTTGAGAGCCTGTTTTTCAGAAATTCTTCTGCAATATTTCCTTTAAACTGAATGTTCATGGAAAGATCCTTCTTTGGTGCTATGGACACCCTTTCGCGTCGTTGTTTTTGCTTCAGATTTTTCTCGATGAATCTAGATAAATATCCATTGTTGATCAGTATCTGCAGTAGTTTATTAAGTTCTATATCGATTGTAACTTCAGTACAGATACGTCTAACCCACAAACAGAATACATCAGATTCCACTTTTGTTTCAGTGGGAAGAAACTTTGAAAATACATATAGTAACCATTCCATATTGACTTTCTATATATCGATCTTCGTAGAGAATCGTCAGTTCTTCTTTTTACCAGAACTTCTAAGAAGTATAATTTTGAATCTGACTCTGATTCTATTGTGAACTTAATTGATTGATGACAGATATTAAACGCATGCAGGATATCTGTGACAGTGATATTTTTATCACAAATATTGAAATTGTAGTCTAAGTATCTCTTGTATAGATAGGAGCTGTCCGAATAGTGTTTTCCAGATTAGCAATAAGGCAGTCATCTAGAAGTGAGCCAAGTGGTGACCCCGTCGCTACGCCATCAGTTTGCCTGTGGAACTCATTGTTAAATTTAAATGGGACTTCGAGAGCGCATCAAATAAGTGATCCTTTCAAATATTATAATGGAACACCAACAAGGAATTTGTTTTATTCGATACAATCATGTAGTAGGCAAATTTTTTTCCGCCATAGGTACATTTGTCATAGGATTTCAGCTAGCCATTTTGCGATGGTATGATATGGCGAGTTATTCATATCTAATATAGGACGTACTGGGGTATCTTTCTTATTTATACGGTCATACAATGGAATAATACGTCCAGTTGGTCTACGTTTTTCATAGAGGTTTCCACTGATAACTGATTTCTCTTTTCTTTCTTTATTAATTTTTATAAATTTCTGCTCACTTTGATCTGTCGCATCTTTTTGTACTTTTTCTTTGTTCATCACTTCAACATATTTTAATTAGTGCAACAAATTGTTGGGGTCAGTTGTTCTAGAATGTTCTGTAACTGATCTGGATCCAGGTGAAGTTATCAGTTGTCCTCTCATGTGTTTATGAAATTTTTAGGAATTGGTTTTTGTGACTACTAAAATCAATCAAATTAATAGTTTCAATGACACATTGTTACGCATAAGTGATATTAAGTAAGGAAAGTAGGAAAACTTGTGACACTTGGTTTTAACGGCTAATCTTCAAAAAAATCTATAACCGATGTTATATTCTCTCCATATCAAACCTTATCATGATGAGTAGTGAAGCGGACTAACTGAGTAGTACACGAGTTTTACTGGAATACTCTACTTTCCTTTCCTTGACAAAATCAAAAAAACATATACTTTCATCATATTTTAACAAGTCAACTATAATTTAATTGACCTATTTCTTCATTTATAAACATCATCAGGATTGGAAAATATTTTGATGATAATTCTCACTTTTATTCATAGGTAACGTTGTCATCAGTACATGACAAGTATTGGTCGTAAAAATTATTTTAATTTACTAAATGTATCCCTAAAACTGTTTGATCTTCAGTTGCATATTAGGGAGGCTACACAATCAAGAGTGAAATTAGTTCATTCAGTGATTGGTGAATATATGTTCTTCAGTGTAGTGTCTTAATAATGAAAGAAAAGAAGTTAAAAACTCTGTTTTGGAGTACCTCGTAGAGTTGAATCATTCAATGATCATAAATATTGATATTTAAATTGGGAATAATATTTCTTACAACAATCATGTTTAAATTAGACACAATCATCTACTCTCTGTTATTCATCTGAAATCAAAGTTCACAAGTAGCTTTATTGAACACTAAACTATCTGTAAGCCAGAAAATTTAAACAATCAATAAATACGTTAATATATCTTGATTAGTCTGAAAGTTAATAATAAATATTCTTATTATTACTATAAACAGTATTTTCTTCTTGATTATTACAGAGATTCAATTACAGCACAACTTAATACGGTATACTTTAACGAAACATGTACTGACTCTCAGTGTGATATAGCATTTCGTTATTCAGTAATGCCAATCACCACAAAGCCATTCGTTATCACCTTCACATTTTCCACCCTTGGATCTGTGTTCACGAAGACATTAACAATCACCGCTCAAAATAACTATTCTATTCAGATGGTATGACTCAAATTTTTATCTCAATTTTATTCAACATTTTGTTTCAGGACTATATCTCATTGATTGCTCATTGTTACGAGTGAGTAACAGACACGCACGGCTTACAGAGTTAAAAGATAACTTGGATATTTTGTTCGACTAGGTGTTGTGAATTTTGACAAAAGTATAAGAACTACTTAGTTTTTGAAGGTGATTCCTCTGATAATGTATTGCGAAGTAAACAACGTGAATTAAGACATGTTACAATTCATGCAGTGTTGGTTTCATGACAATCAGATCACTCTAACACCGATATGTCAGAGTTATAGAATCATATTTGTTGTCAAATACTAATGGTAACATTTATTTTTAAAGGAACACCGTATTGTCAGTTTGGGGCTGTAGAGATCGTTGGATTTTATTGAAGTCGCCATCCGATCCAAGTTAGACAACCACTGAAAAACTGGTAGCACTGGACAGTAGTTTCATTATAGTTTGGGATCTCTCAGGAATCCACATCCGCTAGCCTGAAGTTGAGAATCGCGCCCAGGACATTCGTCCTCGATCGAAAACGCTTGATCTTTAGACCGCTGAGTCGGAATCCAATAGTGTACAAGTCTAACTTCGATAAATCCACGATAGTGAGCGACCATCTCCGATTGACTTCTTGTATCAGTTAATTTATGCCCAATATATAGAAGAACTTCATGGTTATGAAAATATTGTTATAACTGTGGGACTGAACCATGTTGAGTTGATTAACACGAGTATTCTAAGTGAATCCTATTTCAATGCTGTATGTAATAAAGACTGGTTTGATGTTACAGGTTTTAGTCCGAAATGACTGGATATCAGAATTAGGCAGAGACGCTTGTTAGGGAAGGAATTTTGATTTCAGGATGATAACCTCATGAAGCCCAACATACATAAGTAAGGAGAAGTAAAAGTTGATTGACTCCCAGTATTTTCAGATTAATTTTAAATTCATGATCATATGTATTGACTATGCTTTATAATTAGGATTTTGTAAAGTATTCAAACCACTCTTCCTTATGTTATGGTATTGTTTTTACTTTTATGTTTTACTGAAAATGAAAATTTATTTTATTTTACTTTGAAAATGTCCAACACCAACTTACGTCTCCCGATCATTTTAAAGCCAAGAAGCCAGGAACCACAAGTGGGATTAGTTTCGCTTGAGTCGATGACTCCTAAAAATCAACTTGTACCGAACACCTATACCTGGTTAAAGTTATCCTTAATTCCGAAACCCAATGTATGGGGGACAATAGATTTTCGACTTTATGCACCAGGTTCCTTCAAAGAATACATATTTTTAAATCCACGACTCAAAACTCAATGCTCATCATTGCCGTTTGTCAGCTTATCAGCAACTGCTATAGATAATATGGTTTATATTAACGTGGATAGAACTTATTATGAAGGTTTGTTTGTATTTATTTACCCATTTTATTGGCCGAAGTTGTTATCGATAGATTTCCTTTTATTAATGAATAGTATGTTTTTGCATAATTAACTTGTAAATCACGAAACATATCAAATTAATTCTTCATCA